ATCAATTCTCACAACTTCATAAACTGCTTCCTTGCTTTGAATTCTTCCTTACATTTAATTGAGGCACTTTTTCAAGCGCTGCATTGGCTCATAAATGTAATGCAGATGATTACAAATACTGAACTAATATCTTTAGACAAAAAAGCTGCCTTCTGTTAAGAAGCATTGATGTGTACCTGTGCTTCTGTGTGCGTGTGTTCCTGTAAATGTGTGCTTACTGGTCCGGCCACATGAATCTTTGCTAATAGCTCCGCTGTGAGTCCATAAGGCTGAAACACCACCGTGTAAATCGTTGACATTAAATCTGTTTTATGTTGCGGGCAGAACCGGGGGAAAAAAACAACTAAATTATGGCTACGTTTCCTCTCCCCTTAATTGGAAAAAGACTGGAGATGCATTTATTTCCTGCATATAAAATAGTAGCCTCTAGCATCGAGCTGAGATCAAGGTCTCATCTAGCCTATTCATTACACTAATCAATGATGTGCAAATTCTCCTGGTTTACGTTATCGGGCGTACGATAAGCTGTAAAAACAAATACAACGAGCCGACAGGATAAACAAATAAAGCCAAGAGGACATTGGATGAGTTGATTCAGCAAGACAGAAAAAAAACTCATCTCAAGTTCATTCATGTAATCAAATACTTATATATATATATATACATATGACTTTAATGAAGTAGAATTTACAGCAGAGGATGGAAGGTAAAATTACATAACAGCACAAAAACAAAGTGTACGCAAAGCACAAGACACAAGGGAAAACCCCCCTAGTTTCCATTTGGATTTGGATTCAGAAAAATGTATCACAGGCAATAGAGGTCCAGGCAACTATTTTCAAAAACTAAGACATGAATGCAACCGCTTATTTTTTATGACTCCATGTTATTAGAACAATAAAAGACCTGAACCACCTGCAAGCCTGTCGTAACAATTCAAAAATGTTATCCCATGTCTGAGGACCGTCAGCGCCACATGCTTCAAGTAGAGTACAGATGTGCACTTTAATAATCAGTTTCAGCACAGACTGAGATTTTTTACACCCTGATGGATGCGATGGTTAAATTCACTGCAGGACCGACACAACCAGCTCGTCTGAAAACTGGGAGACAACTGGCTCATGTAGTGAAAGTGTTCAACTTATAGTTTACAGGACTAACGTTGCCAGTTATCGTCTAAATTACCTTATGTCTTATGAGTACCTGTGTTGTAATAACATAATTCTTGTGATGATCGTATTCAATGCAAAAACAAAACTTTCAATCAATCAAATTAATTTCTTAAAAGCACTTGTACATGGTAGCTGAAGTGGAGGAGTACTCTATGAGATTATTACTCACCGAGGCCGGGTGGGTTCTCAGGGCACGGCGGCAGCGGCTTGGGGGAAGGCGTCTGATTGGTCTCAGGCTGCGCGCTCGGCATCAGCTGCTCGCCCGTGGCCAGGTAGCTGGCTAATGTTGCATTCGGCCTGGAGAGGTTGTAATAGTAATAATGATGTCCACTCCCTGCTGCTCCGCTGATGTTATTCCTGGATCCGTTGCGTCCATTGTTGAAGCGGCTGAAGAGGTCGAAGCGCTGCGTGTAGACGTCGAAGTACAGGATCATCATGATGAGGAAGTGGAGCAAGCAGAGCAGCAGGACGCCTTTACAGATGCGCTCCAGAGTCCGGCCCAACATCAGCCGGGGCATGGCCGAGGAAAGTGACCGTCCTGCGACGGCCAGCCACGACAATGCAGGCGTGGCGGGGTTATGCTCTCATGGCAACAACTGTGTGGGCAAGATCAGCTGTTGTTAGATCTCTGTTAGGAACATGGGGTTGGTTGATACCCAACTTCTGCAGGAATCATGAGCTCATTCAGTAAGATAGATTGTGAGAAATCAGGGTGTTCTATGTGTACCCTGGTTCCATGCATGACAAGTACTTAACTGTTTTCATCAGCTTTGTTCATCCCAGAACTATAATTCTTTTGTTAAAAACATGGCAAATTTGTATTACAGACAAGTCCAGAGTAATCTAAGACATAAGGCCCCAATGCAGACAAGACTTAGCGGGACATGTAGTCATATGTTGCGTTGGACACTATCCCAGTGTCATGTTGCTGCTGCAGCCATGTGGTATCCCAGTGGTAGGAGATCCAGTCCAAGATTAGCGTTTCAAACTTCCAGGAAATAAGTGATTCCAGTGATGGCACATGTCTGACTGCTGCTGAGAAACAGTCATCAGTTTGTTATGTATGGGCCTGCAGACATTTCAGTCAGGACGTCACCTTCTATGGCATCAGATCAGTCGGACTCTTTGCTCATCGTCTTAAACCAGGAAGTCTCAGGCACCTGGAGAACAATAAAAGACAAAAGATAGAAAAATAGGATGAAGCCTAATTAATAGTAAATGTTATTTAATTACACCAATTTATCAAATGTTTAATTAAAGGGATAGCTTGTGCTGGTAAATGTTAATGTTTTCACTGCTTACTTAAACCAAAGCAGGTGAAAGGCGATTAATTATAGCTGTGAATGTTTTCAGTGCAATGACTTGTCGAATTATTCGTTGAATCAAATCAAACCAAAACATAATCAATCTTCCTGTGGCATTTTAAGAGAATTCACTGACCTTGTTCTTATTTTATATGCACACTTGAATAGCATTGGAAAAAATAATGCAGAAGTTCTCAGTAGAGAGACATTTGGCAGAAACCAAATAAACAACAAAAAGCATCTGCAGATGCAAACAAACAAGCAGCCCTGACTGTTCAGCCAAACTTAAATGCTATGTCAATTTTCCAGGCAAGTGGTTTAAAAAGCGTTTATGATGGAATGAGAGGACGAGTGAGAAAACACAAGAAAGAGGGGGCACTTATAGCTTTTCTACAGCGATGCTTTCTGTAGCTTTATTGTTTTTCCAATCAGTCGGAGAAAGGAGAATATGAGGGTGAACGAAACAATAAAAAAACAGAGTGACATCAGAGCAATCGTCCTATAACCAGAGGGTTGGCGGTTCGATCTCACTCTTTCCCATCTGCACCCCGAAGTGTCCTTGGGCTAGATACTGCACATGACTGTGAATGCGTGTGTGTGTGTGTGAATGGCAATAAAATGGCAACCATTTCACACTTAGACAGAAAGAAGAAGCCAGTGAAAGAAATTCCATCCAAGTCTGGAAATAGATTACTCTTCATTCACATAATCCAGTTAAAAATTGGTACAAAAGTGCTAAAGATCCAGGGATCATGAAAACGTGAGTCATTGAAGAGAGCTAAAGCCCCAAAACAGGAGTCACACATCGACTTCAACTAAAACTGCTGCTTTGAATGGGGTGACTTCACATGTTGTCAAATTCCACAGCTAACATGGCACATTAGCATGGAAGCCATCTAGGATGTGTGTCAGGGAAACTGTGATTGTTGGCGTAATGGCGATGACACCAGCTCCAATCACTGCGCCCACCGTCAAGCATTAACGAGCGTCTCATGATTCAGCCCGTGTTGAACATTTGAAGGACTTCTGATTTATCTTTTTGGATCTTTTGCTGAGTAGTAGTAGTTCCTGATTCCTACCTGTTCACCAGTCTGATTAAAGACTGTGAATTGAAATCTCCTCGTGTGTCATCTGTGTTTGGATCCTCACATGTTTCTGGGTGTAACTGGGCAGTTCATTCTCAAACCAAACACTACAGAGGACAACACGGTGAGGGGGGCAAAAAAGGGGCGGAATCCTGACAGAGTCGAGCGTAAATGTGTGTGTAAGTTGGATGAGTTTCTATTTATACAACTGGTACAAATTGAATTATATCTAGCTTGAAAGTCCAATAATGGTGTAACTCATTTGAGTTTATGTGTTTTTGAAGCGATGGTGAAATTCAGCAAACAAACATATGTCAGGTGATGGAGCTGAAGCTATTTGGCTGCTGCTTCCTGCGTCTGTCTTTTGTCTGTGGGCAGGAAAGCCAAGACTGCAAAGACTGAGCCCTGAGGGGCGTGTGTGTGTGTGTGTGTGTGTGTGTGTGTTAATGAGATGGACTTCTACTGACCCAAGGACCCAGACACCGCACGCCAATCACACCATAATGCTTGTGCAGGTCAGGATTTATTTGCCAGCTGTGCTGCTCCTCAGCGACTTGACACGCTGCCGTGTAATACATCGCATCTAAATGTTTCAAACATGCAGTCAGGCAGCCAGATAGAAAATCAGTCCGTCCAACGGACTGAGGAGTCTTGCCCATTTTTCCGCTTCAACTACAGAGCTTAGGGGCAAAGTGGGCTGCCCTCTGTGTCCGACAGGTGTTAAACCGTGTGAGAGCGAGGTTTGGCTCTGCTGAAAATCAGCAGCAGGGAAACAGAAGAAGGATCTGTTTTTGCTGATCTGCTTATCAGATATCAATGTAAATAAAATACATGTCAGTGCTTTTTCTCTCGTGCGGGTATAAAACAAAGCCCATGAGGTCGAAATCCATCTGCACCTCGGCCTCTTTGCTTGCTGACATTTTGCTCAACTGGCTTTTCTCAAGACATCGGGTACAATCTTTAATTTGAGTTTTTTGTCTTGCTAAAGGTCAGCAGACCAAAACAAGAGACAATGAAACAGTGCAGAGGAAATCTCTGTTTTTCACCTGCTCTGTTGTTCATGTCACTCTTCTTTCATTCTCTGCAACATCTCACAGGTATTGTACACTTGTTTACTTCAACTTAACACAAATTCTGGGGTTTAGGAATGAGTCTCAAGACTTTGAGTAGTTTGAAGGTTGCAAGTTAAGGAAATACCAAGACAAGAAAAGATGTCCAGAGCAGCAGAGAGAATAGACCCTCTAAGTATCCACTTTATTCAACAATCCCCGTAACTGTCTTTTTAACAACAGCAATAAATTTCCTAACAGTCCCTGATCATACCATGTCTGCCAAGAATGCTACAGAGAAATGCAATAAAAATATGTGAAGTGGAATATAATCAGCTGTTTCCATCTCCATTAACTTTCAAGGCTTATTCTGAATGAGCAAACCTGAGACTAGACACTCCAGATGTCCTGAGGAAGAGACTTCAATCATCAGCCTCTATCATCACCATCATCCTCATCATCCTCCTCATCTTCATCATCTTTATCGCCATCATCACCACTGAGAAATGGTAAGTTATAGGCAGCCAAAGAGGGGATCAGATCCGAAACAAAATTGAATGGATTCTTACTCGGCCCATGTCCCATTCTTCCAAGTTTCACAGTAATTAATTTTGCAGTTTTTACGTAATCCTGCTGAGAACCAAACAAACCAACCAACCAACAAACAGACAGGGGCTAAAACATAACGTCTTTGGCGTGGGTATATGATGGGGGACAAAATGATGTCACAGAAAGGATATGGACATATGAACAAGGCAACACCTTCATCAAAATTGGACAGGAGGTATGTCCAAGTGTGGAGAATCTTTGTAATTTGAAAGGATTTGTGTAGCACATTCCAGTGTGTGTCCTATCACAGAGATTAGTCAGCCCACTAATCTCTATCAGAAGCTACAGAAAGTACAGCTTTAGTCACAGAGGTTAACAACCAGCTAACTCATTGTTCAGTGGGTTGTGGATTAATTATAACACTGCAAGAGATAAATTCTGTAAAGAGGTATGACCATAGTGAGCCTGTTGGATCCAGAGGTAAACAAGAAGCTCACTGTCTTCACTGCACACTTTGCATTTTAGATCAATTCCAATCAGCTTCCTTCAGAAAGCAATCCATTAAGACAGAGTCTCCGATGACATAATGGTGTCCATCTGATGTGTGTGAATGTGCAGTTTTCGATACTATGGATCACAACATCCTGATTGATGGCTGAGGCAATGGGTGGGGGTTTGGGGAGCGTACTGGACTGATTCTCATACCATATCTCAGATAGGAGCTTTTCTGCGTTTGGTCCCTACATGTGTGAAACTGCTGCCCTCTCCGGTGGTGTTCCCCAAGCTTCTGACTTGGGTTCTTCACTATTTTCTTTGTATATTTTTCCTATAAGTGACGCTGCTATGCTGATGATATTCTACTGTTTTCTTTTAAACCTGATAAGACTGATACACTTTTTGCACGATTATCTGACTGGCCTTAAGGTCTGGATGGCTAACAGCTTCTACAGATGGCTCAATGTATCGGGCCCCTTTCCTTCGCTCTACACTCTAATCTTAGAAATCTCAATTATTTCATCAGCATCTTCGGTTCATTTTACCTATTACATGTTCAGCCAGTGCATGTTTCTTCCCTTTAGGAAACTCAGGTCTATTGTATGAAATCCAGAGCTTAATACTCATTCATTGAAACTGGCCTTGGTCTCACCTTGTGTGGTCTAGTGGTTACAATCTTGTGATCTTTCTGTTACTTAATATATAATACAACTTGTGAAATGTTATCTTTAATAATCAGATGTTTCTGTGACCACCAGCTGCTTCAGACTGATACATCTTCCACCATTGTCACTGCAAACCAATGTGAGTTTTATTTAAAGGATTAGGATATTCTGCTGAAAGTTAAACCTTCATCTGTATCTTAAAGTTCATCCTTTAAGATACCGGTGTGAAATTTACATTTTAATAACACCGCAGGGCTCGGTTGAAGTGCAGTGGCTCCTGCCTTTGCTTCACGGTTGTTCATACGCACAATTACAGATGTGATGCTGCCAGACCAGAATAACAAAATACAGTAGATGAATTCTTAAACAAAGTGGATCTGTATGACATTTTAGGTTGGAAACACAACAGAGGATAAACAAGACAAAACAATGGGATGTAGGATTAAAAGGAAAGTGATAAGACACATTAATGATTCAGTCATGGTCTGAGCATGTTCACACCACTCTGTCACAAACAAGTGCAGTCTGTCAAATCAAGGCATTCAATCACAGCATATCTTCCCGTTTCTGCTGTTTAAAAAGAAAATTTAAAAATGGAGACACTGTTGTTTGATAATGTCCGATCTTGTCTCACTTTGAAACTTAACACAAAAACTGCAACACGTATCAAAATATACATTCAGGAGGAGATGTTTGCCCGCATGTCTACAACATCTGCATCTTAAAATTTTAATTGGTCGACAGACGGGTGACCAGACTGCTAATTTGTGAGGGTACATAATTCATTGAGTCTAGGCCAAGCATATGTTTGACGGGGAGATGGACTGTGACTAAACTCAGGGTGTTAAATGTGAAAAGACGACTCAGAACCAAACATCCAATATTAATGATTTTATCCAACAAATAGAAAAGTTGAAAAAAAAAAAAGTCGCCAAAGTGTCAAAAAGGAGACTTACAGTCAACAGCAAGTCTTAGATCCAGTAAATGTCTGGATCTCTATGTGCAAATCAAAG